TCCCTGCAACCAAAATTTAAACAACATTGTTATAAACAAAGGAAAACCCTAAACCCTAACCCCATAGATGCCATTTGCAAAGCACAAAATTAATTTCAACTTACGTTCCAATTAGGGTATCTCCAAAACCTTTTACCAGGATTTTCTTTGCTGTGGGGTGTCAAAATGATAGTGGGTTTCTTACACTTGCAATTGACTTGTTGTCCTGCAAAAGACAAGCACGATGAACAACGGAAGGAACTCATTTGATGAAGACAAACCCAACTTCTGTCAAAGACGAAGACAAACGAACAAAAACCCTAACCCTTTCTTTCCTTCTTCTCTTTTAGGGTTCTTCTTCTTCACTCATGAGAGTCTTCTTCTTCTTTTAGCTAGGGTTTGTTCAATTTGTTCTCAGAGCTTTCTTTCAATTTCTTATTAACCGCCAAACATGGAGAATGAGGTGGAGATGTGTGCTGACATGGCATACACTGTTGGGTGATGACGTGGCAGCTTGTTAGCCACGCCATCATTTAACAGACGGAGATTAACGTCAGGTATTAAATTGAAGAAAAAAAATATTAGTTAGGTAATTTAAACAAAAAAAAATTAAAAATAGTAATCCAAAAATTGACCTAATTCGAGGTTAAACATATTTAAACCTATATATATATATATAATTTTTTTTAATGTTGGTACGAAAAATGTGACTAATTGGTAAACGATTAACAACCATCGAATGATTCCTAATTTACAACAATTGGCTTGAAAAAGAGACTTTACTCCTCAGATGTGTTGTTGGTGTACTCCAAAGAATTTATGAATAGTAGTTAAATTGATGTTTCTATGCTAAGTTACAATTAAGATAAATGTGGTAAAAAGAAGTGACCATTGAAAATGCAAGGGAAGAAAATGATAAAATAAATTTGTAAAGGGAAGTAGTATATATGAAAATGAAATTATTTGAAAGGATAAAATAAAATTCAAATATTTAAAGGTTATTAGTAAGATAAATATTCAATTATGTTACTCTTAAGATAAATGTAGTAAAGGAAGTGCAGTAAATAATTGAAAATGTAGGAAAAAAAATGGTAAAATAAATTTGTAAAGGAAAGTAGCATATGTAAAAATTAAATAATTTAAAAGGATTTTTTTATCCAAAAGATGGTATATGAGATGATATTTACATGACTACTCTACAAAGAACTAATAACATGACACACTGGAGATTTTCAAACATATCGATCACTAACTTGACAGTATTTGATTTGATCCAAAATTTTACTTGTTGAATTGGGAATTAATAGAGACTTAGCTGAGAGGTTTCACCTCTCGCACCAAGAGACCTCCTTAAATAAGCATGTCCACGAAAATAAAATTTTAGTGGTTACAAAAAATTTCAAACTCACATCATATGTAAACTCGTAGATTTTGAACTGATTATACCAAGCCACGATAGTTATAAAAGGATAAATTTCATTGATTGATCGTGAACCTTTTGACCCAAAAAAATTCAAATATTTAAAGGGTGTCAAGTAGCATCTAACATTTGTTTGAGGATAATAACTACTCAATTCCCCCTATGTTAGGAAAAAAAATGGACTTTTTGGCCATTGTAAATAAAAAATAAAAAAATAAAAATAAATTTTTAAAAATATAGTTACCAAAATAAATAATTTGTACCGATGTGACACTGGGTTAAAGAAAACGTTTTTAGGGGTGGCATTTTTTTTAACAGAATATTTGAATAGAAAACGCTTCCCCCTCGGATGTTTTTCTATTCAAGTTTGATAGGTTTAGCATTTAGGGTTTTCAAGTATGATAATGATAGTTGAACATAAAACACTTAAGGGAGACATTTTTCTGTTCAAATATTTAATGTTCAAAAAACGTCACCTCTAAAGGCATTTTCTTTAACTTGGTGCCACATTGACACAAATTATTTATTTTGGTAAATAGTTTTTATAAAAAAATTTATTTTTAATATTTTTATTTTTTTTTAATTTAGAATGATAAAATATAAGGACCTGTCTTAGTCTCTACATTGTATGGCACAACGACTAGCAATGGAAAGCGTCTAACTTAAGACCATAGATTTACAGATATGAGAAACATGTTTTATACTGCATATGTATATAAAGGTAATCAATTAAATAAATATGTATAATATAAATATAATAATCTAGTAAATGTAAATTATACATCTTAACTTGTCGGTCAAACATCTACTACTAGATATACACATCTACGATCATCAGGTAGTCAACAAAACATCCTCCAGCTCCTTTACCACTGAGTGGCCTCAACAATACTCCAACCTTATCCCTGCCTTATCCCCATATCACGTATGATCATCGCAGTCCAAACCATATAGAAACATGCAATGGTAAGCTAGAGTAAAAAGAAACTACATATATAAAACACATGAACATCACATCATCATCTCTTCTTCAACAACACAACAATAGGGCATCAAAGTATACAACACAATAATAAGGCATCAAAGTATACAACACAAATCAACACAACAACTTTATATTCAACACAACAACATCATCACAAATCAACGCAACATATGAACAACATAATCAACTCAACTTATTATATGTTCAACACAACAATTATATGCATCATCATGCATTTCAACAAAGAGATCTCCTATAATATAATTAAGGTGAGCAGTTTAAGTCACTTGATCCTACCAAACTGACAATACAGGGTGATCTTTTTGGACTTGCTAGATCAACATCAAATTGGATATAATCCACAACACAACTCAGTTTCTCATATGTTGCCACTTAAACAAGAAAGTCTAGTACTATTGTTAGGGCAGAACAATTGGGTACAGATCTATCACGACATTAGCTAGCTTAGTTAAGTCTCATATGGGATTAGTCCACTGGTTACCCTCCAAATACTAATTAAGCTCTTTTGATGCTTAGTTAGGAACTAAGTTTTTGACTTCGTATTTTACTTAGTTGGTTAATTGTAACAGTATAGCTTGACCTGATCCCTATATTATGGTCACTTCAGACATTTATGCCTTAACCTTGCCTACACACGACAACAACAAAGTCCCGAAGGGGTAGTAATATAGTATCCACTTCAAGGGTCAACTTTCTAAGAAGACTTTTCAACAATCATCACATACTACTTCATCTCTGTAACTCATTCATCATATCTTCACCGTTCCTTCCTCTAAAACTTTCACAAGTACAAGGAACTACGACTTAGTAGTGAACCTAATATTGTCATTCGCCTCATTATTAAGATGCAACCTATAAGAAGAGAGATCAACCTGAATTACCCTCCTTGGTTGGATGGTCAGAACATGCACATTGTCAAGCAGATGCAGAACATCCTGAATTCTAGAGTTGCTATTGAACTAACCATAGAAGGCACTTTCTCATAACCTTCCTTTCACGCTTGGAGAGCCATACAATCATGGATGATTCAACCATCAACAAAGTTCTACATGGAAGGGAAAAACTAATGACAACTTCCAATTATTGGGCCTCTAGAGCCATCAAAGCAACATATGTGAGAGCCTACTGCTTGTCTTCCTTAGTAGACTGAAGCTTCAGACGCTTCATAACTTGCATTCCTCCAAGGCTTAGGTTGTTTTAGGGCCACGCACTAGGCGTCTTTTGCATGTTGGTGGAGGTTCTAGGATGGTTTCTTAACCTTTCTTAATATAAGATCATTTTACTACCCAATTATCTTTTCGATGCCCCCTTCCTACTTGAACATGAACACTTCTTCTCACCCAGCTGACAACCTATCTCTCGTGCCCTTACCCCCCCATAGGAGTGGTGGTGTTGAAGGAGAGGTGTGTGAGGGATGAGACCTGGGTTGGGATGAAAGGGAAGATGTTAGAGGGAGAGGTGTGTGATGGATGTTTCTGCTCCTCCTACTACTTCCGTTTGGTGAATGAATTCCATTATGGAAGAGTGAAAATGTTGAAGTTCAATTATATTCTATGTGTTTTGTTGACTTATTTTCTACCTAAATCTCACTTAATGTTGTTGGTATGTTATGTCCCTTCCATTTAGTTGTATAGGGTAACAATGAGTACATGGTGAGGGTTTTCAAAATATTAGGACCAAGGGAAAGTGCAACAACGACAACGAGGGAGTTTGTAAAAATGAGAAGAAACATGTGACGTGGAGAGAGATGGCAAAGGTTGAAGAGAGAATGAGTAAAAAATTTGTAACTTTTTTGATGCATTAGATATGCAAAATCGATTATAAAAATTGATGTTGTATGTTTTTTTCAAAATAGGTTGGCACATGATTTTAAGAGTGTCTCACTACAACTTCGGTGGGAACAAAATTAGTTGTACAACTAATTTTGTAGACCTTTTTCCTCAAGTGTAATTTAGCTATTTTTTCTTTATTTCTCTAAAACTAAATTCTTAAAACAAATGTTATTTATCTACCTGAAAATAATATATTGTTAAAGACAAAAAATAGTGACTTTAAAATTTAGAGGAATAAAAAAATAAAAAAAATATTTTATAGGGGCTAAAACAAAAAATTGTTTATTTCCCTTAAACCATAAACAATGTTTACAAATTTTAGAAGGATAAATTTTTTTTTTACAGGAACTAAACCCTAAACCCTAAACCCTACACTATAAAAACAACTTCTATCATTATATAGCGTAACACCCATTAATTTCACTAAATTTTCATTATTTACCTTCTATTGATTTTTCATTTGTTGGGGGAAAAATCCCTCATACACAACCCGAAACACCACAAAGTGGGTTCATGATAAATTTCATAATTGCAAAAATTTCATGCATGATTAACTTACAATCTATACAAGCCTGAACACAAAAAAAAAGGGTTCATAACTTACATGCGAAATTCAATAATTCCTTAAATTGATTTTAAACACCAAAATTAGAAATACAATTTTCCAATCACTAAAATTCCATAAATAATTGGGAAACATCATGACCTAATTTATTTGAATTTATTAAATAATTTTTTAACCAAGTGTAATTTTTTTTCCCAATATTCAAAAACCTTCATCAACAAATATGCAAAAATAAATAAATAAATAAAATAGTAGCTATGTTAATTGCCACTCACATAATTGCACATATACTACAATAGATATCTCAGTTGAGACATATTTTGCATCTAAAGTCATTTATTGCAATGAATGTGTTTAACCACACAAGTCAATAAATATATGTGCACGTTTTCAGACAAAGATACAAAGTTTCACCACGGAGTAGCCACCTCTTTTTTAAACTTCACATGATAGCTTTCGGCTTTGCACTTCAAACTCTCAAGATAGGCACCAAACTCGTAACATGCTCCCTTTAATTCTTCGAGTTTGGCTTCCATATTCTTTATTTCATCATCTGCACGAGTATATTCATTTCTACATGCCAAGTATTTTCTCGCTTCTAAGGCATCATTAGTCTCATAAGCAATGCTTACAAGACGGCGTAATCGAACTCTTAGAAACTCAACATTCATGCCCAAATGCTCGAAGGCAAGCAAAGTTTTGTCCCAGTTAGTGAATTCAAAACGTGGAGTACATATCACACTAACTTTTATGGCATCAGCAATGTTGACAGTTTCAGATATAATTCCAGCAATCAACTTGTAGTTCATGCCCTTGATGAGATTGTCGTGTAGAAAAGCATGTTGACTACAACATAGGTTATAGTACTTGTTTCGAACCTCAGTGGAGAGTTCGACGTCTATTGGCATTCCATCAACTATGATGCTGAAATTTTCAAAACCTTTCACATCTTTGAATTCAAGCATTTTATAGCCCTCCATAACTTCTGAGAGAGCTTCGTCACTATCGTTTTCAGATTGCTCGACTGGTGGCCTAGCCTTAGGTCTCATTCTTGACATGCTACTCTTCTTTTTCTTTCGGACGTCTAGTGGAATAGATTTTCCATGTTTTCTCTTTGAGGCATTACATGTCACAACATCAATATCTGTATTACCTTTGCCTAAGAACAAGAGAGAGAAAAAAATAAAGAATGCACAAATCATTGATTATTCATGATTGATACTATAAAAGAAACAATTAAAAGTATAGAGAAACAAGTCTTGCCTCCCATTTTTTGTTTTATGCAATTGTCAAGACTTAGAAAGGCCCCATCTAGTTCCCTCGTATTATTAGCTCGTATTATATAAACCTGAAAATACAAAATAATATTTAATGGTACGAAATTTTTTGAGAAAGAGAAAAAATAATGACTCATTCCCTCAATATTCTCTAAGAATAATTTTGGGGCGTTATCATGAATTTGGAACATTCTTTAGTAGATATCCAAATGATAATAATCTTAATAATCAAGGGATAATTGTGATTTTAGCAGTGTTAATTTCGCCAATATGTGTTATCATTGACACAATATTACCTTCTAAAAGGGTTTAAATGCTAATAGAAGAATAACCTTAACAATTAGGGCGTGATTATTATTTTAGTATTATCAAATTTTCAAGCTTTTAATTAAGTGTTATCATTGTTTCCATATGACCTTTGAGTTTTTTCTTTAGTTGTAAGTGTTTGCTTAGTAAAATTACATGCATAAGGCACCAACAAAAGTACACCAATTACTAGACAATAAAAGGATTAAAAAAAAATTAGTTCCTTAATTTTTGTCAATATTTTTTTTAGTTTCTAAATAAATTTTATTTAATTTTAGTCCTTAAATTTTTTTTCCATGAACATAAAAATTTGACGTTGGGACTAAAATGTTTAAAAGAAAAAAGTTTTCAAGTCTAAAAGTGAAATTGGACAAAGTTCAAGGAAAAAGAATTAGTAAAAAATTTGTTTAGGGACTAAAAATAATAATAAAAAAAGTTTAAGAACTAGAAACATATATAATTCAAAATAAGAATTCTTGTCTACCCAGAACTCCTCCTTTTTCACACTCATAAAAAGTAGTTTATAGGCAAAAATATATTTTTCGTCCCTTATATTATTTATTAGTGTCAATTTAGTCCCACTTTAATTAATTGATTCGATATAGTCCTACATCTTTAAAATGTATCTCAATGTTTGACCTTCCATTTCCTCCGTTTAAATACTTAACGGATGTGACACGTGTCATGTCATGTGTCATGTTATCATGTCACGTGACATAACACGTGACATGATGACATGACACGTGACATGGTAGCATGATAAATGTCATGTCATCATGCCACGTGTCATGACACGTGTCAAATCTGTTAAGTATTTAAACGGAGGAAACGGAAGGTCAAATATTGGAATATATCTTAAAGATGTGGGACTAAATTGATTCAATTAATTAAAATGGAACTAAATTGACACTAATAAATAATATAAGGGACGAAAAATTTATTTTTGCCTAATTTATATTTATTGTTTTTGGTTTTGATAAAAGGCCTCTTAAAAAAAAGTTAGAGTTATTCATTAATCGATAAATGAATATCTCAATCTAGTATAAATCCTTAGTCACTTTTATTGTAGAATGGGGAAAAATATAGTCTTGGGTCTACTCTTAAACCACAACTAAAAGAGAAAAAGAGAAAGTAATCAAGCCCTTAATACCAGTTAGTGACTCCATATTGATAGCCTTGGGTTTTGGTGTTAAAGCATATGACAATGCCCTAGATCCATATCTTGTCAATAACATTGACCTCTCCAAGGGATTAGCATCCTATAACAAGGAGTTCCCATAACTAATATTTATCAACTATTAGGAAATTTGGATTTTTTTCATTATGGTTGTATCTACTACATTGACATGCATGTATATAACTAGCATATGACATAAACAAAATACAAAAGTTCAAGTGAACAGTGGTATCAATGCTATTATTACCATTTTTTTCTTGCAAAATAATCCTCAGACTTTTCTTGCAAAATAATCTCAATGAAATGTAGAATGATCATTATGAAAATTTAACAAAAATAAAATCCAACCGTGTACCTTAAATTTGGTAGGTTGAATTAATTGGAAGACTACCACATCACCCTCTTGCAATTTGTGCACAGCTGAAAACTGTCTCCAACCAGCACTCAATCCTGTCTTACATGCAATGTATTTTGTATTATATTCTTTACCAGATTCATCTTCCAAAATTATTGTTGTATCCTTATCTGGTAAGTGTTTTTTACAGAATGACACAGGCAACCCCTACAAAAATAAATAAAAAGACACGGCTCTAAAACATAATGAAATTTGGCTTTAATTTAAAATAAAGTTTTTTATATTAATTTTGTTCTATTGAGATGTTTACCATCCAAAAACAACTTGCAACATGTGATCTAACTAAAGATTTCACAAAACTAGGGAATTCTGACTGCAAATTTGATTGGATCTCCTCTGCTTGAAGAACAGCAGATGACATGACCTCACCACGAGATGATGTTCCTTCAGTTGCAGCCTTAATAGAACTAGAAGCAAATACAATCTCTCAGTTTTACTATAATTAACACAAAGGAGGGATTTATTATCTAAACAACACTAATGATGTTTTACTTACCTTGCAAACTTTTGAGCCTCGCTAGGTGTAGCCTACAAAAACATTTGTTAGAATTTTAAACCATTTAAACTTTGATTTGTTAGGAATTAGTCCACAGTTCATTTAATTCATATGTCTATTCATGCAAAGTTCTACAAGTTGGTGAGTTCAATAAAGTGAAAAACGCCAAAAAAAAAAGTGATAAAGTCTAATGGATTGTCAAATTGTATGGAGTAATATGTCATTAAGTAAATAGTTAAGGTAAGAACCCAAGTTTGAGAGCATGTAAAAATATTGAAAGGCATGAGAATGTCGCTGCCAAGAAAAATGTGGCACAGAAAAGTTTGTACACTTTGTGAAGAGTGATCGATTTAGAATTTATAACACACTTGTAAAGTAATGTCAAAAGTTTGATCTAAAGAAAATTTGATAATTATACCCAAAGTTTATTTGAATATCAATAATGTTTGTTAAGATGTCTATGTTAATAGAAAATATTTAGAGCACTATTTTCTGTGATTTTTTGTGTTGTTCCCATCATAGAAGACAAGAGACAAAAGACCAAAGAATACTTCTCTAGTATTTTCTTATACATTAATTACAACAGAAATCATTTTGCATGTCATACATATTTTCTAAGTGATTAGAAAGTTTTCCCTTTTTTCTATCAAAACAAAATATTAAGGGCCAAGATATTACACAAATTCATTGAGGGAGGGGGGAAGGTCCTACAGGTGTAAAAATTTCCTAACTTACTTGCTTTATCGAACTGTTTAAGAGCTTGTATTTATTCTCTGTCGTCGCCTTGTTTTGTCTATCCTGTAAACAATGTAATATAGCTACAACATCATTATCAATCCAGAAACAAGAGGCCAAAAGGCCCAAAACTAAAGGAATCTCATGCTAGTTTGTCTACGAAACTTTGTAAGGTCAAGAAAAATAATGAAGATGTCCATCAAAGCCTTTATTCTTTAATATGCAAAACACACAATGGAGGAAAAGAAAATTGCAAAATTTGGCACATTCTCTGAAATTATATATAGAGAAGATAGAATAAAACCGTGTTTAAAGGAGTCATTCTAGAGAAATGGGCTAGAGGTACATCGTGGTGAAACTCCTCTCCATAATATGCCACAGTTACTGCATGATCATTGTGTGGAAGCTCCATCGTGTCCTTTTTAATCACACGGTTACGGTTCTTTTCATCAATCAACACCATTTTTCAACCTTATACGAGTCCCTTCTCAGATTCAACCTTGAATGAATTACAAAAATGCCAACACTTCGTGGTGGATGCAAATAAATTAATCAACTTGCATCCTTCTCGTCAACCACAACCCCTCTTACGCAAGAAAAAGAAATATACAACGAAACGAGAAAGAGTCTGAAAAGGCCTTGAATGGGATTGTAGGGATGGTGTTGGTTTTGATCAAAGGAGAAAAAGTTTACATGGTAAGTGGTTGATCTGTTGATGAGAGAGAGAAACCAAAATGTTCGTTTAACATTTGACACTGTTGGATCCACCACCTTTGGTGTTTTGACTTTCAGTTATTGTTATTGTAAAATTTGGTTGGTAATTGCCAACAAGTGCTTTAGATTTTGCAATTAGAAGCAAGATAGATTTTGAAAAACGTATAAAATATGAGATAGACACGTAATTCACATGTGTCTTGCCCACATCGTTCATATACCAATGTCAACCTAAATTTTGTGTTAAGTGCCTATTTTAAGTAAAATTGGCTCCAATATAGTAACTGATTTTAATCATCAAATGTAATTAAAATAATATTTAAGTTCAAATTATATATATATATATATATGCTTACTGTGTATGATATTAATTATTAATGCAAAATAAATATACAATGAAATGATATACTTTAGAAAGCATTTTAATTTTTAACCTAATCAATTCAATGGCATTTCGTAGTGGTCCTTGTATTTATAAATACATATTTAATATACAAATATAAATTAAAAACTATTCAGAGAGAATATTAATTTAATTAATAAAAATAACATGTTATTAATTAAAATATAAAAACTGTTTGAAGTCATTTGTTTTCTAAAGCCTTTTCAAAAATGTTGTACATTGTAAAATTATGCCTCTTAAAATTGTTGATAAAATTCAATATTAAAAAAATGTAAATATAAAAATCTTAATTATCAACTGAAATTTTTTATCCTGTTATTCATTCTCGTCTGTGATATATTAGTTTCTTAGGTTTAAAACATTAAATTTAAATTACGCATAGTAAAAACACGATAAAATTTTAAATCGCAATCAACAAAACAAAATAGAGAAGTCTTGTGTAATTTTCCTAAATTCAAATCTATTTTCTCTATAGTGGGATAAAATTTCACTTTGAAATAAACGATAAAAAAAATAATATTTTACTAATATCTGATTGAATGGATGGTAGCAAATAAAGAAATCTCTAATCCTAGTTGTATAAGTTGAAATGACATTTGAGGGTTTTTTTACCCTTATTTTGAGGATCATGCGAGATTTTGATTTTCATGATGATAAATTATATTAATTTGTAATTTCATTTAAGATGCTCATAATGACATACAATAGTGAAGGAATGAATGGTAAAAGTTTGCTTAATTTTTATTGGTTAAATTATATTTTTGATATTTTGTTTTATTTATTTTTTATTTTTTATTTTTTAAAATGTTTGTTTTGGTATTTTATCTCTTAAATTTAAGTCAATTTATTCATGTTGAATCTTTTTTTGACCAACTCACTTATCTCATTAAATTTACTTATATAAAAATTATTAAATACAATTAAAGTTCAAATCAAAAGTGTTATATACGTGATAAAAATACAAAATTTCAAAAAATCTAATTTCATATATTACAGTATCGAAGATTGTCACCGGAAAACCTTTAGCAATACAATGACAAAACGACCTAACAATAGTCCTGGCCTAGAACATTCGATAAGTGTAACCTATCTTCCAAGACCTAATTGTTTCTATATACAATGGTGTGGCACTACACTCATGAATCACACACTTCTCATTATGATCCCATAAATCACATCTTATTATGAACTCGCAAATCTCAGTGTTTGTGATTGTTATTTTGTTTCTCTTGTGGATCATAAGATCATATTGATTGTCTAAGTGGGAAAGTGAATCATCCTATATCTAAGTCCTTGTACTTGTAATTCAAGGCCTTCCACTACAAGAAAAACACAAATTTCCGACGGATAATTTCTGAAGGATTTGGATCCTTCGGGAAAAAAAAAATTTTCAACAGATCAAAATCCGTCGAAAAATGTATATTTCTGACAGAAAATTTATGACGGATTTATATCTGTCGGAAACTTCCAACAAAAATTCTGTCGAAAATTCCATCGAAAATCATGCCATATTTATATTAATTAATGTATTAATTAATAGTGAATGCTCATGTTGATTAATTAGAACCACCGATAACGGAACATTATTCCCTAACTGCTCATTTGTAGCCACAAAAGCATGCATCAAATTTAGAGAGCCTTGTACCATAACAACTCTTTCATACATTATTAATTACAATAATATTAGTTATATAACATCTTTTTAGAAATGTGTTGACAAGATAATCGATAATATATTTACTTTTAGATAAAACTTAAATGTAATATTTATTATTAGATAATATATTTATTGTTGGATTTATTGTATTGCCCTTTATCAAATTTTTCTCGTATTAAGTGTATTTATTTAGAGTTTTATAAATTTTACACTCAAAATGTGAGGAAGTGTGTTAAAAATTTTATATTGAATAATGATATAACTAAAATAAAGTATATAAATAATAAAAATTCGTACATTACAAATCATTTATATATATATATATATGATTAAAATAAGTCACTATAAATACAATATAACTAACACTAAAATTAATTAAAATCAATTTTAAGTTTTTATCTCTTCATATGGTATGAGAAAGTGCTAATCTTTATAGTTAAGTTTTATGTTATTATTAGAAAACTTGCTCTCTTATATAATTGATGAAATCACCAATGAGTGTTAAGTAGAGCAGTTTGCATGGGATCTTAATGAGATCTCTACAACATTCATGAATATTGGGCACATACATTATCTAAAACCACGCACATAACCTAAAAGTGCAACACCATAATAATGACAAGGATCATGGGAATGTATTGCGATTGGTTAACTTCTGATACTCAGCCAAGTGTTTTAGATTTAATTGTTTGCTACACTCATTACATTGCATGTTAAGTTTTACCAATTTGGGTCTAGTTCAATAGCTTTCTACATTAGGTCTAATGCATTACATCCTATATAAGAATACAAAATGTCTTTTAAACCTTTTGTGGATATGTGGATGGTTGTTGTATATTTTGAGATATTTCAAAATGTTAATTTATTCACAAAATTATTTTAAATTTTAAATTATTATTTTATTAATTATAGATTTTAAAACATAATTAATATTGATTTTAATGAGATATAATGACTTGCTTATTGCAGTTTTAATTAATTTAAATTATCAAGTATTTTCAAATTAAATTATTTTAATTATCATGATTTATTATATTATAGGTACAAAAGTTAGTATCTTTTTTTCTATAAATGCTAAGTGTACTGGGGAACTGAATACCCCTTCGGCTAGTACACAACCCGAAAGGGTATTCGACCACAACGAAAGCCGGATACTTGTCACCACCGAAGCCACGTCACCCCAGGCCGAGCAGTCATTTAGTCACGAAGGTTGAAGGCCGAATACCAGCTCGGCTAGGACATAATCCGAAAGGCTATTCGATCATAAGATAAGGCGAATATCCCCTATCACTAAAACCACATTACGCTAATTTTGGTAAGCTAATAAGGGTGCACGTTAGCTCATATTAAGGCATGAAACTCGAGATTATTAATCTCTTAATCAAAAAGGCCCATCAGGCCCAAATAAGTCACTATAAATACAACAAGTATTTTCAAATTAAATTATTTTAATTATCATGATTTATTATATTATAGGTACAAAAGTTAGTATCTTTTTTTCTATAAATGCTAAGTGTACTGGGGAACTGAATACCCCTTCGGCTAGTACACAACCCGAAAGGGTATTCGACCACAACGAAAGCCGGATACTTGTCACCACCGAAGCCACGTCACCCCAGGCCGAGCAGTCATTTAGTCACGAAGGTTGAAGGCCGAATACCAGCTCGGCTAGGACATAATCCGAAAGGCTATTCGATCATAAGATAAGGCGAATATCCCCTATCACTAAAACCACATTACGCTAATTTTGGTAAGCTAATAAGGGTGCACGTTAGCTCATATTAAGGCATGAAACTCGAGATTATTAATCTCTTAATCAAAAAGGCCCATCAGGCCCAAATAAGTCACTATAAATACAATATTGATGGGACAGAAAGGTAGGTATAATTATTTAAATAATACATATAAGCATCACGCATAAGTACTTAAAAAATGCCAAAAAATAAGAAAAAGTGTTATACATCAAACTTAAGTGAGAATGATGTTTTAAGATTTTGTAAAAATTTCAAATTTGAACTATTATTATTGTTATTATAAATATATTATTATTTTAAATTTGAAATACTATTATTTTGCATTTAAATTAAATTATATTAATCATTATTTTCAAGTTTAAATTAAACATTATTTATATATTAATTTAATTAATAAAAAATATAATATAGTAATTTTAAAAATAATTGTATTTTAAAGATATTTATTTCCTATTATTTATAGGAGTTAAAATGGTAGTTTTTTTTTT